ATTATCAACCGCTAAAAAAGTACAAAAATAAAAAATAAATTAAAATCAAAAGAGACCAGCACGGCGTTACATGGTGATGAAAGATTGCAGGAAGGCTGTATTTGTATGTATTTTAGCCTTGTTTCCACTGTTTTCTTGTTTTGCTTTTACTGTTTCCGTTTTGGGCTGCCTGTGTACCTTAACTTTTGATCAAAAAGTCGCGCGGTAAAAGCTCGTTTCAGACTCTTCATCGAGGGTTGCCGTCTTTTTTTTGAAAAAAAATAAATAAATAAAATTTTCATGTGGAATATTTCAGGAGCTTTCAGAGAAACATAGAAGGTATCGAAGAATAATTTTTTAATTTGAATGAGAGACTGATCAATGGCTCAGGTGAGAAACGACGTATTTCCGTTGCGGTGTTTCAAAATTTTCGTTTTTGCTCTATTTTTTTAAAGGGAAACATGCCGTTTTATTTTCTTGATACACACACAAAAGTTTCTGCATACACAAAAATAAAAGGGAGGAGCATCTCAGAATACGCGACGTTTCCTAATTTTCGGAGAAAGAAAGGAATTAAAAAGGACAGGAAGTTGGCAACGTCGCAAATGGAGATACGTGGTTTGGCCTTTTCGTGATCAAGACGGTGACCCTTCGTTTTTTTGGTGCGTGTTGCATAGCTAGCCCCTGAAAATATGTGCAATATTTGTCTTCTTTTGGCGGTTGTGTGAAATTTCATTGAATACTGAGCGGATATTTTGGATATTTTGATTTTTTTTTATCACACCTGTGCATCCCTGTCTTCAACTTAAAAATCACACATTTATTTTCTTACTCAGAGTTCCAAAACGCAGTTAGTTCCTCTCTATTTCTAGCCTTAGCGGTGAAGAAGTCAACAACAGGACAGAGTTGAAAAGCAATTAAGTCATTTCAGGCATTAAATAAGGCATGTCAAGGTGGACTCAATGGAGTGTTCAATAATTATTAGTTCTATACAAGTTCCTCGGAAACATTGATTCCACTCAAAACTTTCGAGAACAGCTTCTTCCCCCCATTTTTAAATGTTTCAGAAAAAAAAAAACCAAGTTGAAGATGTCCTTGGGTGGCAGTTTAGTCGTGAAAATTAATTAGCAGTGATATTTAGTGTTGATACAATGAAGAAAAGAAAGAAAAAAAGGAGCAACAGACGCTCACACTATTTCAGTCCGGATACATAAAATATGTGGAATATCTGTGCGAAACAGGACGATTTCTAGCATAAGTTTAAACTCACACATGATCCATGTATATATAAGGTCGGTTCAGCTGTTTTATTCATTAATCCACCAACTTCAAGGTTGGTGTTAAGTCAATTATTAGAGTATAGATAAAAATGATGGGAGACAAGTCAAGCATTTGCTATTACTCGAGCAGTTTCGCGGTGACTTTACAAATTTGACGCATTTTAGTGATATTTCATACTAAACATTTCAACTTAACACATATATTCATACATTTAATAATTATTAAAATGGCAGACCAATCGATACATCGCAAAGCACGCCACGCCACCGTCAATGAGCCCAAACCGCATCTAATGACCAATCAGAGGCGCTTGAATGGACTTAAGTGCAGTCGAGGCATGCCGGCGCACAGTGGATCGAGTCAATGGGAAAAATCGGACATTTGGATACTTCAAACGCTTATAACTCCGTTTATACAAAACGTTGAGATTCTAAAAGTGGTTCCATTGGTTTCCCGTGAGATTTTCTCGTTGAGGCACCCTTTGGAATTTAAAATGTGACGAAATAAACTTCAAAATTTGCAGTTTTAGTCAAGAATTTTATGTCCGATTCGACCTCTTCGATTGACTCGATCCACTGTGCGGCCGAAGGACTTAGAAAATGGATCGTGTTCGATACATCCAACAGGTGAGATAGTATCGATATCGATTGGTTAAACATATAGACATAGAATCTTTTGATTCTATTGAGAAATCTTAGGGAACGGGTTTTTTGTGATAGATTTCTTTATCATTTTGAGTGCCGTTTGGCAATAAAGCGTGAAATTGTCAGGAGCTTTCTCATTTTCAGCTTCTCCAACTTAAATCCTAAAATTTTTGACCGAGGTGTTCTCCCATTGTTTCGAACCAAACGACACATCGAACCTTTTTCGAATATAATCTATTCGGCACCTGAAACGTAGCTCGCGTAAGTGTGGGAACGGTGATCCAAGTTTTTTCAGCGGTTCAAAATTCACCTTTAAATGTGATTTTTTGTCGGTTTTCGGCGTTTAACCATCTTGTGATGTTGGAGATTCTTCCTAGATTATGTTTTCAAAAAGGTCCTTTCTCGATGAGGCGCATGTGCCTTATTATTTATGACGCGTTTTTATCTTTCTCGGATCGGAATTCAAAAAAATTCCATGGACGTCGAAATCGTTGGAAAAATTAACTAAAAAACCCGTGTTCCAGACGGTTATTCGGGGAAAATGGTCACGAGGCTTGGAGCAAAGAGTGGATGTCAAACTCTGACGACACAGCTTCTCCGTTTTACCCCAAAACGATAAACAGACGCACCCTTCAAGAATTTACGAGGGTCTCGACCCCCGCGTTCACACGCCCAAGCAAATTATCAGTCGGCGCCAACAGTTCAGATCCTTATCTGTAGCTCTACGCCGCGCCGTGTTCGTCTCAGTGCTGTAAAATTGAATAAATTCTATGTCGTAATGCATATCTTATTCTTTTATCTATATCCTTTTTCCTTGCCTTCTTTACCCTTCCTATCCCCAAAAATATATCTTCTCTTCTTTAAAATATGTTTCTTTTTATTACTCTCGGAATTAATTTATTCTCATTTTATTGTTGTTTCTGAGCTCTAACTTTTCCATCCGATTGTAAGTTCTAGACGTGATTTTGGACGGACAGAAATTATTTTATAATCAACTCCTGAATTGAGTTCGGATCGAACTCCATATATGGATATTTTTACCGAAAATTTAGCTTTGAGTGTGATTATCTTTCATTCCTCAGCCGATAATACGTGTTCCTCCAGGTCGGGTTATCGGGCCAACTTTGGAGCACCATGATAGCGGAACTGATGAACCAATCAGAGAGCGACACGAAGATGGTAATATACTCTCCCGTATACAGGGTGTCCCAGGATCAAGTACGTACGAATATTGAAGGAGTTGATTCTTTGGGTCAAAAAAGACGTTTTTGTGGGATCACTTTTTTTTCCAAAAAAGCTTTCCTTCAGGGCCACGGCCCCTCAAAAATGGAGGAAAAAATCGTCTTTCTAACACAGTGACAATGCTTTTCAACCAATATTAATGAAAATTGGTAAATGGGGGTACTTTTTAGCGGTTTTTTCATTTTTGACCTCCAGAATAGAGACAACTGTTGGAGATACGAGATAGGCAATAATTAATCTGACAACGCAGCATCTCCGCGCTCACCCTGAAAAACTATAAAACACAGTCGCACCCTTCAAGACTTTACGAGGGTTCTCGTCCCCCCGTTCTCACGCCTACGCTTGCGTGGTGCAATCCCTTGTCTTTGACTTCAGTCAGTTCAGACCCTTCCCTGTAGCTTTGCACCGTGTTCGTCTCAGTGCTGTAAAACTGAATAAATTCTATTCCGGAACTAAATCATTTCTTAATTTCTTCAACAATGCATTTTGACCTTAATTTCTTCAATTTTCAGAGGCTGAGTATCCATTTTGGACCTCCTAAAGAGGAAAAAGCATTTTGAGGGGGGTGTGAGGGGGGTATCGAACCTATACGTGCCCAAAATCAATGTTTCCAGCGACAAAAATGATTTTTGACGGCACCACTTAATTCAGCGTTGAAAAATATTGAGAAAATGTGTCTTGCGTTTTTCCGCTATGATCCATCATTTTCCGGAAAATAAGGACTGAATGGAGCGCGGGTGGGCGCGAAGGGGGCGGGGAAGGGGGATGGCCCCCAGGGAAAGCGTTTCCGGAAAAAAGTTTACCACAAAAACGTCTATTTTTGACCCAGAAAATCGACTCCTTCAACATTTGTACTCTAGAGTACTCTATCCAGTCATACATTGAAAAATTGCTCATCATGGGGCATGCACCGCGCGTATGCGTACACACGGTCATCGCGACGTTCGAATTTGGCAGTGGAGCCTCATCGAACTTTTCGTTGACTCGAAGCGCACTTGATAAATGTGCCATCGGGCGCGGAAGAAGTAGATGAAGAACAGAACAGCATGAATAATCAGGGATGGATTTACCTTTTTAGCGCTTCTAGGCAAATCTTATAGTCGCGCCCCTCACAGAACAGACGACTGTAAGGGGAGTCTGGGTGTTCGGGGGTCCTCCCCCGGAAATTTTTTAAAATCGGGCATTTGATTAACGCAATTTAAGCTACTTTTAGGTTCTTTAACAGAAAAATTTGGTGGCTGAGATGACTCTTGTGCTACCATAATTTTCAAAAGGCATAGGGAATTAAAACAAAGCAAAACTAAACACATGCGAGAAAAGGTTGGAAAATGTAAAAAGAAAATTTTCTCATTAATGCAGAGGGGGCGCGGGTTTTACGAACCTTATTAGTAGACAAGGTCAGATTCACAGATATTCTTCTTTTCGCACGCCTCTTTTTTCGTCCTTAATTTTTTTTACTGATTTCAATTCTACAACCCTTAAAAAAGTATGCATGTGTCTCAAAATTTTGCGCCCCTCAAAACTTTGCGCCCCTAGGCAGCTGCCTAGGTCTGCCTTGTGGGAAATCCGTCCCTGTAAATAATACGAATTAAGGAGACTACGAGGCATTGACCATGGACGCTCACAACTTCGACTTGATTTATTTAATCACGCTTGCGTATCCTTAAACACGTGTCGCGACTCGGACGCGATTGAGATTTGACGATCAAATCTCAGTGGCGTCGCGGTCTGTGACGGGACTCTAGCCACCTGTGGGTGATGCGTGATTCGTAGAGAGGAGGAAGGGTAGGAAGCGGAGCTAAGGAAGATGATGTAATTTCGGAGTTATCACGCTGCGTAGAAAAGTGTCGTTTTCAGATGCCAGAGAATGTCCAAAAACACGTTTTTTAAAACCGCGCAATGTGGCAAACTGGTGTGCAGAGTGCGCGAGTGTCGCTTGATGCCTTATCGCGCCGCGTTCGGTAGGCGCGGGGTAGCGTCAGTGTTCAGTGATATCCCTTGTGAGCCACTAGTGCGTCTCTACGCCGCAATTCATTGTCAGCACATTCAAGCTGATCTATTTCTTAATTCAAGTGATAAAATGAGTAAATTTTCTCAATACCAGGTTAGAATTTTTCTGTTTATTCATATTCTCTCGTTCACTTGCTGCCAATCGGATTGCATTTTGCGAAAAGGAACCAAGAGCATTCCGACGATGTTGCTAAAACAGTGCAACTTTTTTTACCATGCAAATATAAATTGCTCATGTAAACAAGTTTTATCTTCATTCCCGATACACTATAAATTCAAGACGAAAATTACCTTTGTAAATTTAATTGTTCATACGATTTCAGTAACTAATTGCGAATAATGTACGTTCCACAATTCCATCAGCAACGTTGGAATGCTACTGATTCCTTTTTGCAATTTGCAATCCAATTTATCACAATCAGGGGGGCTTGGACCGGGAGTATCGGCCCATCAGTGCTAGAATTGGTCCATTTTATTTATTAATGTATTTTTTCATTAAATATGGGATACTTATTTTGTGTCGGAAGGAGGAGATGGATCGTTCCAAAATTTCTTCGAATACCGACCGACACACCAGGATTTTTCCTGCCCGTTTCCCCCTCATCATGATACAAAAGTACTCAGTCACTTCAGTCCATTGCGCGCTTTATTACATTCCTAGGAGGCTACGGGCTACGACCCCTGGCCGCTACGCGGCTCAACCCCCAGAGGGCGCTTTGCGCTCCCGTAGGCTCGCTTCGACAAAAGAACAACCAAAAAATACTGAAACGAAACGGAACAAACGGCTCAGAACGTTTCGTCGCTCTTGGATACAGTCTGTATCCAAGGAGCATACCTTTCAATTTGCTTACCTTACCCTACTAAAACCAGACCAAGATTCAGCATTTCCCGCTAACTTTGAAATTCCCGCCATTTTTCATTGGTGGAAATTTCAAATTTTGCCCCCTTTCCAAGCTTTCTGGTATCCTCTAATATTAAAAAACCTGGGTCCTATTTTCAAATTCTGATTAAAGCGGGCTATCTACAAATCAGCTGTCGATAACCGCAAGAATCATTAAATTGCAATCGGCTCAGGAGAACGCTCAAACGAACTATGACAAAAAATGCAAATTTACATTGTTAAAATGGGAGAATTCGCAACTTTACCACGTAATGTAAAAAAAAACCTGGGTCATATTTTCAAAATCTAAATAAAACGGGTTCATCTAGAGACAATTGCCTGTCGATAGCCGCAAAAATCATGAACATCGGCCCGCGGTAGAACGCTGGAACTAAGCGTCACCAGATACGCAAATTTAGGAGGTCTTGGAGCTGACAGTATAGTCTATCCGAAAAATAATTGACTTTTTTTCTCCTCTTAAGAAGTCGTCATCTACTTTTCCATTTTTTCAAGCTCATGCCTCTTCATCTCCTTTCCTCACCATCTTGTTTTCCTTCGTCTTCTTTCTGATCCTCATTCCTCACCATTATCATATTTCCCCCTTCTAGTTCTACCCCGTCTCTTTTTCTCACAAATTTTTAATTCAGTAGACTCCTTCTCCACCCTGAAACGCATGCCTAAGTCAGCTTAAGCGTCTTCATCTAATTTAGTAAACCGCGACTTACTAGCACCATCGATTCAATCAAAGCCCGTGAAAAACGATCGATCTGAAAAACGCCTTCAAAACAGTGGGTAGGCCACAAACATAGCGCTACGCGCATACTGTCATCTTCTCGCCGATGCTCCAGTGCTCCAGTTGGTTGGTATGTACTTACATACATACGATCAACCCATATGCTCGTTGATCAGTTTGTCGACGATTCTTGGCGAGGCACCTGGATTACTGAATCGATATTTTTTAAGGATTTCAATGCAGGAAACAGTGTTGCCAAATGCAGAAACGCAATGTATGCATTGCACCGGGTTGTTGTATTTTCATGCTACAAAGACTGTCACGGTAATGTTTAGAGTGCGATTTATTTCAAGCGCATACTTTTTATTCTACGAGTGGAAAGTTAGAATTTAACCATAGAAAAGCGTCGATATCTTTGTTAGGAGTTACTTTCCACGATTATCGTTGCACACATTTTATTACGCGTGAAGGAAACAATCAGTATGCTTAAATTTGCAACTTGTTATTGTATCCAGTGTTATCCGTGTGAAAAAGTAAAATTAGCGTTGAAAGTGATTCCAAAAAAAAACCACACAATACACGCCAAGACACAGAGCAGTAGGCTCATATTGGCACCTGTCTACTAAGCGTTTATTATTCTTGATTTTTAAAATTTGGAATTTCAGCTCGAAGATCAATTTTCAAAAAAATCGTCAATGAATTGAGATGATGCAGAATTACGTAATTCACTTAAAACTCCTTTCACTGAACAACTACTGACAAAAAGGGATATTAGTATTGTATACAACGTTCATCGAGTCGCAATAGATGAGATTTGGGAATAAATTATAGATACAAGCTTTGCAGGGTAAATAGGTGGATTCAAACATTTTCCTCTCACCTTTCTTCCGGGAGGGAGGGAGGGTCAAAACTCGAGAGAAAATTCAGTGGAAAGTGTTAAACCTTGATGGACGGTCAAAATCCTTGGGAGGGTGGAAAAAATCGAGGGAAATATGTATCTTAGGGGAGGTTATATATCAGGAAAAAATCCGGTGGAGGTCAAAATATGATGGACTCACTTTAGAGTCTCTCGTGGGTTGCCGTTAGTTACCTGCTCCCTTTTTCCATTAAAACCACCCGCCTTCACCAACAGGATCCGTTAACATCCCTTTTGTCTTCTTTGTCTATAGCTTTGTCTATCAATTTCAATAATCGACCCGTATGCAGGAAAAAATCCAGGGCGATACAAGTCCGGCAAAAAATTAGGGGGCAAAGTCAAGATCCAGGGAGGGGGCAAAAATCGATCATCTGAGGGGGGACTCGGGATGAAATTCAAGCACTATTTGGAATTTTTTGAACCCCTTCCCCCACTCAAAAGAACTCCCTACCCCCCTATTTCAAAAGAAAATAGTTGCTCGTATGAAGAACCCGGGTCGGCACTACTGCAGCGAACAGCCCCGAGCAGCTGATAGTCAGTGGCGAGGGGTGCACTGAGAAAAAGCTATGGTTTATAAACCTATTAGTGGTAAATATGGAACACCTATAATAGTCGTAAATAAACTAATGATTCTCGGTCTGTGAACCATACTAAGGTCTCTGTACCTAATTAAGGTACAGAGACCATAACTAAGGTATATGTGCTATTATTATATGTAGAGGTACTACTATTAGTGGTGTTCCATATTTACCTCTAATAGGTTTATAAGCCATAGTTTTTTCTCAGTGTGAATGATCGATTATTATCGATATTTTCCCATTTGATGCTATGGAAAAGAATCGATTATTGAGGTGTCCGTTACAAAGATTCTATTTATCGAACCTTTTCCACAGGTTTAAATGACAAATGAATCGATATATCGTCACCTTCCACACTGAGAAAAAACTATGGTTTATAAACCTATTAGAGGTAAATATGGAACACCTATAATAGTCGTAAATAAACTAATGATTCTCGGTCTGTGAACCATACTAAGGTCTCTGTACCTAATTAAGGTACAGAGACCATAACTAAGGTATATGTGCTATTATTATATGTAGAGGTACTACTATTAGTGGTGTTCCATATTTACCTCTAATAGGTTTATAAGCCATAGTTTTTTCTCAGTGCAGGCAAAGTATCACAAGCGCCATGCGACGTTTAAAAATTTCCGCCGCCATTTTATTTTTTTACAGAGAAATTGTTCAACGAAGCTGTACGAAAATTTCACTGAATTTTCTTTGTGCTGCCGATAAAATTTAGTGAAATTTCCAAACAGATTCAACCAACAATTTCTCAGTAATGAAATAAAATGGCGGCGGAAATTTTTAAACGTCGCATGGCGCTTGTGATACTTTGCCTGGAAGGTGACGATATTGCAAAAGCACGCCACGCCACTGCTGGTAGTCAGGCAATGAAAAGCAGGCTGCCATCACACTAGCGCAGTACTAACAGTCCGATCATACAGTCTGACAAAGTGGGCATGCTCCCGTTTGTACACAGCCACAACAGTGTGACAACAGCTTAGTTAGGGTAGTAAAAATGATGACGAGTGTGACTCATCCCGGTTTAGCCATTACTTTGAGGGTGGGAAATTATGCCCCCGAGCCCCTGGGCCAATTTAATCTGACCCCTAAAGCGTATCCACGACTGTTCGGCGCCAGGAACGAGGGTTGATTACGGAAACTCTCTGGCCACGAATAATGCTCATACTATCCCGCCTTGCTAGAACGCCGTGTGAGCCTTCAGACGTTGCCAAATTTCTTCTGCTAAAATTCGAATTTTCTTCTGGGATTTCGAATTTCTGAATCTAAATTATCTGAAAATTGCAAGATAAAATGAACCGCGTTTAACAGGAAGGAACCAAGCCACATCAGCTATTGCCAATTTTGAGTGGGCAATTTAATTTTTTACGAGAAAACGTCTGTGCGGATCCCTTTGAAAATGTTAAGGGATTTGCTTCGTACTATGGAGAAAATTCACCGAAAGCACGAAAATCCGCACAAATCTTTTCATGTAAAAAATTAAATTAGCCAATTAAATTTGGCAATAGCTGATGTGGCTTGGTTCCTTTCTGTTTAACGCGGTCCAAATACTGGAATATCCCGGTATCCGCGAGGGTTACGTTCCGCGAAAACCCCGCGGATACCGAATTCGCGGATACGGGGGCATTGGTCTCATGGAAAATGAAGGGTTAGGGGACGTGTCAAATGAAAAATGCTTACATTAACCTTTGGTTTGCGGAAGCAAGTCACTAGAGTTGACTGTTTCATTTCACGCCGAAGTATTCATTAGTTTCCTTGAAAATAAACGTTTTGTTGGAGGAAATTTGAAAACTCTCGTATGTTCGTACGGAGTTTTCCTTAGGACGGCGGTATAGCTCTTGTTTATTTGTCATCTTTATTTTCACTCAACAGTCATTTTTTGAGGGTGAACGAAGAAACGTTTGAATTTTATACAAGGCTAAAGAATGATTGCATTAAAGAAATAGTCCTACATATAGTTCTATTTTAATTAAAATTAAAT